ACCGCAACCTCCGCCTCCTGGGTTCAGGCAATTCTCCTGCCCCAGCCTCCTGAGTCGCTGGGATTACAGGCACGCACCACCATGCCCAGCTAATTTTTTTTTGTATTTTTTTTAGTAGAGACGGGGTTTCACCATGTTGACCAGGATGGTCTCGATCTCTTGACCTCGTGATCCACCCGCCTCGGCCTCCCAAAGTGCTGGGATTACAGGCTTGAGCCACCGCGCCCGGCAGGTGAAGCTCTTTTACGTTCTGTGATACGGGTGGACCTGGAAGAAATGCTGAGTGAAAGAAACCCGTTTCTAAAGGCCTGTGCCCTGTGAGCCCATTTTTTGTGAAATGTCCGGAAAATGTACGTCAGAAAGTAGATTGGTTGAGGGTGGGATTGGGGACAAGGTATGAGATTTATTTTGGGGTGATGGTTTCACAGTTCTGAGTGCTAAGATGGCTGAATGTTTGCAAATGGCGTTCACAGTCGCATGCAGAGCGGGGCCTCCATCCGCAGGGCTGCGTTCTGCCGGGTCTCCTGGGAGGTGCTGGTGTGGGAGCCGTGAGACCTGATGCCCTCTTAGGACTTAGCCTGTTGACCGGCTCAGAGGCGGAAGCCCAGGCCACTGTGGGAAGCCTACGGGTACGAGGGACTCCTCAGCAGTGGGGAGGGCGCTGCCCCTCAGCTCTCCACCCCAGGAGGAGCCCTGCACTGTTCTTGACCAAGGGACACTGGCAGCCCAGCTGCCTCCCTGGCCTGCCTCCCTGCCTCAGGGTTGTCCCCTCAGCACCCTGGATGGGCCGGGCATGCTCAGGCCGGAACTGAGGAGGGGTGGCCAGGTGCCTGGGTCTAAGCGTAGCTTGTAGGTTCAGGGTGAGAAGCTCTGCTGTCCCTGCCCTTGGAGGGCTGGGGCAGGTCCAGAAGCTGCTCCAGACCCTAGGAAGTGGGGGCTCAAGGGACCCTCATTTTGCAGTTCCTGGCATCCCTAGAGCCAGGCAGGACCAACCTGTGACCTGGTGGCAGCTTCCAGGGAGGGGAGGAAGGGGGTGCCCCAGAGCCATGGGAGTCCCCTGCTGACCCCTGGGTGGGGCCCAGGGCAGTCCCTGCATCACTGGCTAGACTGGCCTTTCATGTCCACAGCTGGGAAGCCAGACGTGCGTCCAGGAGCCCCCCTTGCCTTGTTCTCCCTGCGGCCTGACCAGGACCGGGCGTGGCAATCACCCTGTGAGTGCTGTCGGAACCGAGGGACCACCCCATAGACCACCCATCACTGCCCTCACAAGCCCTTCCTAGTGCAGCCCATTGCATTCAAACTCAGTTGATGAACTATTTGCAGGCCTGAGCGTGCTGTGCTGGGTTTCAGGTTTGGGCTAGGATTAGTAAAGGTGGCCAGGTGCGGTGGCTCACACCTGTAGTCCCTGCACTTCAGGACGCTGCAGCAGGAGGATCACATGAGCCCAGGAGTTTGAGACCAGTCTAGGCAATGTGGTAATAAATAAATAAATATCTCTGTAATAAAAAATAGCCATGCGTGGTGGTGCACACCACTAGTCCCAGCTACAGGCAGGAGGGTCACGAGCCTGGGAGGTCGAGGCTACGGTGAGCCAAGATCCCACCACCGCACTGAGGCCCCACGTTGAAAAACGGGGAGAGGCCAGGTGTGGTGGCTCACGCCTGTCATCCCACACTTTGGAAGGATGAGGTGGGTGGATCACCTGAGGTCAGGAGTTCGTGACCAGCCTGGCCAACATGGTGAAACCCCATCTCTACTAAAATACAAAAAATTAGCCGGATGTGGTGGGTGCCTGTAATGCCAGCCACTCCTGGAGGCGGAGGCAGGAGAATCGCTTGAACCCGGGAGGCAGAGGTTGTGAGCCAAGATGGCGCCACTGCACTCCAGCCTGGGCAAGAGGAGACTCTGTCTCAAAAAACAAAAAAAAAATGGGGAGACAGCCAGATGCAGTGGCTCAGGCCTGTCATCCCCGCACTTTGGGAGGCCAAAGCAGACGGATCACTTGAGGTCAGGAGTTTGACACCAGCCTGGCCAACATGGTGAACAGTATAAACATGAGCCAGGTGTGCGCGCCTGTAGTCCCAGCTACTCGGGAGGCGGAGGCAGGAGAATCGCTTGAACCCGGGAGGCGGAGGTTGCAGTGGGCCGAGATCACAGCACTGCACTCCAGCCTGGGCAGTAAGAGTGAAGCTCCATGGCCGGGCACGGTGGCTCAAGCCTGTAATCCCAGCACTGTGGGAGGCC